ACACTGCGTATAAAGCCCTGCTTTCGAGCATGAGCCAACGCGGCCTCACAAGGGTTTATTAGTCGGTTGTCAAGGAAACGGATCTCTGCTTGACTCAAGCCCACTCGCTCCGCCAAGTACTTCCATTCATTTCCACCTGAAATGCAGAGTAAGAGTTATTATGGTAGTTCTCCGCTCCAGTGATTTAAGGATATCTTTTTAAATGTTACAACAAGTACTCACCACACATGTGAATTGTTAAATTCACTCTCTGAAGAGTGGGAATATCTAAAATGTCACACGTCTCAGGCAACAAAGGTCCTAAACAGTAAATAGAAAAAAAAATGGATTGAAACAAGTTATGCATTTTACTCCTCACTGTTCATTGAGGTTACTGTAAAGAAATAAACAAGTAGAGCAAAGAAAACAAAATTTTTCACGGGACACCACGCATTTGGCTATTCTCAAGTCACATGAAGACGACGCAGAATTACCGACACAATCCAAAAATGTGAAGCCCATGTTATGAGCTGTGTTTAGCATAATTGTTTTTTTAGTGTGGATTTATGTGGATTTAAATTAGGAAAGTGGCACATTTTGAGCTTGGTCTTCGAATGAAGCAACATGTAGCATTTCTATTTCATATCAAAATACAGTTCATGAATAAATCTGATATAGTTCTTAACGGAAAGGAATATGGGCTAATCTAACTGTCTGCATCATGTAGATATCCCAAACAACCAACCTGTTGTACCAGAAGGTGCAATCTCTCGTAACCTCTTCACAACATCATGTCTCTCTGCAGATTGGGCTTTGGAACAAAGGCAGCGAATCATAGGCTTTGTCTCTGGATCTGGCTGCTCTGTGGATGATAGGTCCAATGATAAACTATGTTGTAAAAGAGCAACAACACCGTCTGCATCGCATGTCCGTAATTGAAGGGCCTGAAGCAGCTCATCGGAGAGGACAATGGCTTGTTCGCCTTTCCCTAAAATTTCGATGAAGACCTCATTTCAAATATTCTCGGCACTGTTCATAA